AGGGCTCAATTCTTGGCCCACTGTCCCTGTTCTCTTTTAGGTTCCATTACTTAACATGATAGCTGGATAGCAGCCTTGGAAAGAGATTCTAAGCTCAAGATTTATCATTCTGCAGAAGACCTATTGTCAAAACTTATTTCAAATCTCAGGGCTTTGAAGATAAAGTTGTTGATGACCTAAACTTTCTTTGAAGTGTAAAGAAGCTTCATAATCAAAACCAAACCTGATACATATGTTTTTAAATACAAATCCTCGGTGAAATTATTCTTATAATAGGGATGATGTTATACCTATTAACACTTATTGAGTACTAACTGTACTTATGTTCTAAATAATTTGCTTGTGTTGTCTCATTTAATCTCATAACAGCTCTATAGAGATTTATTTTTATTCTTGATTTTTGATAAGGCTCAGAGAAACTAAGTAATACGTCCAAGATCACTCAGCTACTAGATGGTGAAGCCATGATTTGAGTCCTACTAAATCTGATTCCAGATTCTATAGTTCTTAATCACCATTCATTGTATCAAAGAGAGATAAAATTGGTAACTAAACAAACTCATACTCTAATCTCATCTTTTGTAGTCAAGTTAATGGGTTGTAAGTGATACTTTATCAACTTTCAGTCATGGATGTAGCAATTTTAATGTCTTTTTAAAAAATCTAAACAGCATTTCTTCCTATTAATTCAGTAAGCATTGGTTGGACAAACCTTTACCAATGAACATACTATGTATGAATAGACCACAAATGAAAAAAGCTATTTGTTCTTGTTTCAGATTGTTTCCAACCAGATGAAGGAGGCAGACATGGAAGAAAATATTTTAAATATAATGTGATAAACCTTCGGGATGGGGTAGACTAATGGTATGAGGGTGGGGGAAAGCAAACCACTTTGGATTTAAGGCAATATGTCACCAAATTCTCATTCATATAATGTTTCAGAGATTTAGCTACTCTAGAAAGAATCTAAAATTTTCTTAATCAAATCACTTATTCCCCCAAGAGATGCATTATAGCATAGTGGTTTAATAGTGTAACTTGTAGAGCCGGGTGCCTGAGTTTGAATCTTAACTCTAATTAATTTTTAGCAACTTATTTAACCTCTCTGCATTTCAATTTCTTCATCTGAAAAATAATAATTTAATAATAGAATTGTTGTGAGAATTGAATGAGTTAATATATGTGAGTTCTTTAGAATAGTATCTGACATATATTAAGTAATAAATGTTTTAGTTATTATTTTTGTTATAAATAAATATATTGATCTTCAGTGGAAGAGATTCATAAGGATAGAATGGGTATTTCTCTTCAAATGGACCAGGTAATACGAATGATAATATATGCTTAGTGAGTTACTAATATATATGAGGTACCATGGTAGAGTCTGGGGCACAAATTCAATTCAGAAGCCCAAAATTACTCAGAGAGCTTATAATAAAATGCAGACCAAAACTACTAGCCAAAATATATTAGGATAAATGATGTTTAAATATGTTATAGGAAATGGCAGATGAATGAAAGAATTAACTTAGTCCCCTGATTATATCCCAAAATATTTAAGTTAGACCTTGAAGGAATCCAACCAAATGAATATGAAGGTCATAAGAGACAGAGAGTATAGCATGGAAAAGATATGAAGAAATGATACAAGAGCAGAAAGCTGAAGGCTTTTGGATTTTTTATTAATATGCATTAATTGTACAAATTAATGGTTTTACTGTAACATTTTCACACATGCATGTAGCATACATTGTTCATGTTAAAGAATGGATTTGAAGAAGGAAAGCATAGGAAAGCTCATGAAGAGATTATTGAAGTACTAGGGGTATAACTCAATGGTAGAATATTTACATATCCTGTGTGAGGCACTGGGTTCCATCCCAAGCACAGAAAAAAATTATTGCAATGATCCTGATCCTATCTCCTCAAAAGAGATTATGAAATATAAAAGCATATTAGTGACAGAGAAGCAAAGAAGGGCAGGTTTGAGAAGTGTATGCCAAGCTTTAATGTAAATTTAATATATCTAAATTAATAAAAGTATACAGTCTTAAACATAATGAGGATGAAACCTATATTTCTCTGAATTGGAAAAAATTCCATTTACATTGAATTATCAATTTGATGAGGATTTCCTTTTATTTTGTTCTTGTCAATTAATGAAATTTAGTATTTTTTTAATATTCTGGTTTGATCTTAGAAGGATGAAGGTAAAGAAGGAATTTATTCTTAAATCTGAATCTAATATCCTTCGAAAGAGTAAAATCTTCCATCATAATCACCTTTAGTACTAAAAGGTGAAATTAAAATCTAGATAACCATCATACAAAAATATTCATTTTTAAAGTGCTTTTAATTGTGCATTATAGTTATACATAATAGTGGGGCTCATTTTGACATACTCATACACGCATAGAATTTAACTTGCTGCATTTTAATCCCCAGTGCTTCCTCTTTCCCTCCCCTCCCCATATTCTACTTCCTTTACTCTATTGGTCTTCTATATTTGTTTATTCTTTTTTTAAATTGATGCTTTACCTGTAAAGGTGGAATTCACTGTTGTACATTTATACTTATACATGGTGTTATTTTGTAAATTCATTTATTTCCTCCCTTTTCCATTTTTTCTCCCTTCCCTTCAATCTCCTTCCTCTACGCCACTGATCTTACCTCTATGTTTGTGAGATCCAATCCTCCACCAAGTTATGGAACCAGTCCAGGTGCCTGTCAACAGATGAACAGATTAAGAAAAGGTGATGAGCTGGGGATGTGGCTCAAGCGGTAGCACGATGCGCCTGGCATGCGCAGGGCGCTGGGTTCAATCCTTAGCACCACATAAAAATAAAACAAAGATGTGTGTCCACCAAAAACTAAAAAATAAATATTAAAAAATTCTCTCTAAAAAAAAAGGTGGTGTGTCACACACACACACACACACACACACACACACAATGGAGTTGTGCCATAGAGAAGAGTGAAATTATGGCATTTACCAATAAATGGAAGGAACTGGAGATTATCATCTAAGGCAGACTTAGAAAGTTAAGGGTCAAATGTTTTCTCTCATATGTAAAAACTACAGCAAAGTAAGGGAGAAAATAAATATTCTTATTTTTCAATTCCTAAAAAGGAAACTAAACACACTTCAGAAATTACTACACAGAGATTATCAAGTAATGGTAGGGAATCTAAAATATTTTCTTAATAAGATTTCTCATTTGAAGTAGAGGACACTCAAGTGACCTACAAAAGTCACAAAGTTCACATGCTGGTCCATGATTTCTGGCTCCTTCTAGTTCACCTTCCATAGTCATATGCATGGTGCTGTCTCCTGGGAAGGAATTGTTTCTATTCCTGTGTGATTCTCTATTCTTAGTTGTGGGGCACATTCCTGTGCATGGTAAGTTTGGCAGCATTTCTGGCTTGGCTCCACCAGGTACCAGTAATACCCACCTTGTAACAACCCAACCAAAAACTGTTTCCAGACATTATAAAATATTCCCAGCAGGACAAAAGACACCTTTTAGTCAACTATTCTAAAGCCTCTCTATCCCTAAAATGCCATGAATGTTACCCAAAAGAGGAATAATTCAAAAAATTTTGCACAATTTCTCGTGAAAATTCTAAATCTCTTTTATACTTTCCACAATTTTCCTAACCATTTTCTCAAAAATTTCAACACCTATTTGCCTGTTTCCCTTTATGGTAAGTCTTCCCTCTGCTCCCTGTCTATCCCTTGTTATTCCCAGGTCTGGGAAACTGTGTTCCCAGGCTCTTTTGTCTTCTGGCTTCTAGCAGGGTGCAGCCAATGGGAGTTCTGGCAAAAGCTGTGAGTGGGGAAGAGGGAAGAAGCCAGGGCACTGCGCTCTCTCTCCTCTCTTCTTTTGGCAATATCTGCTAAGTTGCCATCCTGGCTCCTATTTCTACTAGGCAAGTCCTTCCTCTGAGGTCCCTGCCATGGCCCTATCTCCCACCAGGTGGCTCTGGATTCTGGGCTCTCATAGCACTTCAGATTCTCCAGATCTAATCTCTGGTTTACCTCACCAACCCATTTGGCTTCTCACTTTTTCCAACACCTGTGTAAGAAGTTGCTATAGAATGAGTTGTGTTTCCCTAAAATCCATATGTTGAAGCCTACCCCTATTGTGGAAGAATTTGGAATAAAGAAGTAATTAATTTTAAATAAGGTCATAAGGGTGGGATCTTGAGTTGATAGGATTACTATCCTTATAAGAGGACACCCTAGAGCATGCTCTTTCCCCTCCTTCCTTGTGTGGGGACACAGCAAGGAATTGTCTATGAATCAGAAAAAAAAAAAGCCTCATCAGGAGCTAAATTTTCCTGCACCCTGATTTTGGAATTGTCAGCCTCTAAAATTCTACAGAAAAAAAATTTCTGTTGTTTAAGCCACTCAGTTAGCTGAGACTGTGTTCTAGCCACTCAATCTGACAGGACCTTGTATTAAAATTTCATTGTTTGAAATGGCCAGAGGATTTCTGTTTCCTGCCAATACCAACTGGCAAAGTTCTTTATACCATCGATACCACGTAATATTTATTGAGCTTCTAACGTGTCTGATATTGTGCAAAAGACAATTTTTTTAAATTCCTTACTCTCAACAACATTATAAGGCAGAAAAAATGATAATACATAAGAATCACAGGTTTTGAGTCACTTAGACTGAATCATAACTCCTTCCCTTATTAAGTGCAGTATCGAAGAAAAGTGCATCTCTCCCTGACTTGGTTTCCTTGTCTCTAAAATGGGTCTAATAATAGCACTAATGTAAGAGGTTTATTCTGGACTAAATGAGTTGTTCCAAGTTCTTAGAATACTTTTAAACATATAGTAAGCTCTCAGTACATATTATTTTTAACTTCAATTTACAGAGTGCCAATTATAATTGTGCCAAGTGCTGTGCACTGAAGACATAAACACAGATAAGAAATAATCTTCAAGGAGTTTCATTATATTAGAGGCAAACACATTTAAACAGGTAATTATAACAAAATACGGCAATTTTATTGACAGGTAGATTATGGAAAGCCAACATAATCAGCAATCAAGATTTAAAGCTTTCTTAAGGTTTAAATCCCAGTTCAGCCAGTTACTGAGTCTGGGTAAGTTACCTAACTTCTCTAAGCCTCAATGTTCTCACCTGCAAAATGGGGATAATAACAGTATTTATGTCATAAGGATGTGATGAGAAGAAATTAGGTCATAAAAACAGTTTCTGGTCTAGTTCCTGGAAGGTAGAATGTGATCATGGAAGCATTGTTATCTCTCATGATTAATAAAGAAGCACAGAAGAGAGGCCCTAACTCAGCAGGGCTCCCCCATATTACCTAGTTCTTGGCCATCACTCTAACCTGTTTGAGAATAACCCCTTAACATTTCACTTTTCTAGTATGAGTATAAATTATTACAACCACATTAGAAAATTTCATGGCAGAATCTATTAAAACTAAACACGTATAAAAAACAGTCCCACTCTTCATATATATATCCAGAAATGCATATATGTATCAGAGGATATGTAAAAAATGTTTATAGAAGCTTTATTCATAATAGAGCAACCAAATGCCCAACAACAGAAAAATGGATAAATATATTGTGATGTATTCAGATACAATGGAATATTACACATAGCAATGAGAATGAACTATAGCTACATGCAATAATATAGATGAGTCTCAAAGACAAAATGCTGAGCAAAACAACCCAGAGTGTATGATTTATTATTCCCTTTAGAGAAGGTTTAAGAATTGGCAGTATGAATCTGTGGTAATGGTCCTCAGAAGAGTAGTTACTGTGGGGAAGCTATTTTCCAAGAGAAGGAGTATATAGATTCGTCTACAACCACCTGTTAAAATAATAACAATAAGAGCCCAAATGTTATAATATTTGCCAGTTTTCTTGGTGTTAATACTCCCATTATGGTGGGTTATGAGTTAACAAGGTGATGGCACTGAACCCAGACTTATTCAGACTTGAAGTACATATACGTACAATCTGTTCAAGCAAGTTGGCATAAGCCAGCTTCAGCACACCACTTGGATGTGGCATGAAGGAGAAGCTGGGCTGTAAAAGTTTCACATCTCTATATGGATGGTGTCTACACAGGTATATACCTATTCACAGAGCTATGCACTTAAGATTCATATATATATATATACTATACGTTAATAACAAGTAAATTTTAAGAGTATCTCTGAGATCTTGAAAGAAAAGTATTTAAAACCGATGTACATGGGAGGAAGATCCAGAAAGATTCCAGAGATTCAAGGGTTGGGAGGGGAGCTCTCAGTTCTTGTCCCCACAATGTAGGCAGCAAAAGAGAGGCACTATTAGCAGTCAGTGACACATAGCGAAAAAGTGGTAGCAACTCAGCCAGAACACTCTCAATCATTTTAACTCCCAACTTAGTTCAATTTTGTCACTAATGCCTGCTACAGATCACAAGAGTCTTGTTTCTATGGCCCCCGTCACTTGGAAATGAAGGTTATTCCTCTGGGTGACTCCAGATGAACATTATAAGCATAGAGCCACCTGAACACCATGATCAGACACCCAAAAAAGCACCAACTAATGTAATTTTTATTTTGAGTAAAAATACATATTAATATCATTTATCTTATGACCCTAAAATCTTAAATATATTCAATAAGTATGGATGATATCTATAGTTAAAGGAGGCATTTTAGTAAGACAGCTGCTCTGGACATATACAACACTCATATATTTAAAGTCACAAAGCCAAAGTAAAATTGCAAAAGGGTTTGAACTGATGGTAGCTTATCATATCCATGAACAAGTTCATCTTTTTTCAATCTGGCAAAACAGGATCATAGAAAACACCATACCAAGTACCTAGAGAATAAAAGAAAAGATTGATGTGAAATTTTAAGGCAAAATTCTAGAGACATTATTAAATAAACAGAAAGAACATTATATTTGAAAAAATTCTGTCTTACTGAATCTCTGGGGAAATTAGACTCCAATGGGACAGGAGACTACTAAGAAAGTTCTGAGGTTTTTGTTCCTGTCTTAAATAGGAGTTTTTACTATTCAGTCTTCAACAGCCCTATTTAGTTGTGCAGTAGTAACTACCACCAAAGGACCCCTTCCCCTTTCTCCAACATTCATGTCTTTCTGTAAAGCATTTTCCCTGTAACTTTGGGACCTGAGGCCTAAATATACCTATTGCTTACATAAAAAAAAAAAGCTATGGTCATCTGGTTTAGATTATCTGCATAAAAATCAAGAAGTCTAGAATTTCTCTCGCCATAGTTTTAGGCATTGCCTAGAAGAAGAAAAATGAAGAAACTTAAAAAAAATTTCTAAAATATGGGGAGAATCACTTAATTCAGGAATTTCCTTTGAAGTGCCAAAGCACAGCTGAAAATATGGGGCATAATTTCTATCTCATTATCTCTCCCAAGAATAAGGGACCCCAAAACTTGCTCTAAATTGGCTTTGCTGTTGGTGACTTGCATGTGGTGGCTTTGATGCAGAAATGACAGAAAGGATCTATGTGCATTGCAAATCGCAAATTTTCTCCCTACCAGTTCCCTTTGAAGGGTAGCAGGGAGGGCAAGGTGCCCTTATGCTGAGTCATCTCAAACACTCCTACTGTGTGACTTTTGCTAACTAATACCTTAGTGGAAATGTAATTCAAAGGAGAACGACTGCCTGGTATTTCTTCCTTCTTAGAAAAAAAACAGACATAAATTCTCTGAAGTAATGATTTTCAATGAGAATGTCATAAAATTCAGGACTAAATTCTTTTACCTGATCCGAAACTTTTAAGTCTGGAGGACAAGGATGTTTCTTGCATCTCACTGTCTCTGTAAAGAACTTTTATGATCTTTCCAAACAAATAGCAAACAAAAGAGATCCATCATTTTATACTGTATGCTCAGACTCATGACAAACTTCCCAAGTGGTATGCACAGGTTCCCATGTTCTGAAGCAAGCTAACCACTGTGATAAAATCATCATTTTTCTTTTAACCACTCTCTTCTTAGGACCTCCTGTTAGGATAACTTTCAATGTGATGACTGACAGTTTCAATGGCTTTTTATTTTTTTAAATGAAAGTGAAGAAAAAAGTGTTAATCTTTTTTTCTGGGCCTATAAATTGCTGTTATCATTTTTAAGGAGAGAGATAATCTGGTTATTTAAATCTAATGAGAAATTTTTAAAAAAATGTTCAGGGATAATTTTTTAATACAATAAAGCATTCTGTATAGATTCCTAGCATCCAATCTGAGAAGAACTCCTATTAGGGTATATTGTCTTAACAAAGTCTTTTATAATCCATGACCCACTCCATTAAATTCTATGCAGAAGTCTAAATATGAGAAGGTTTTGGCTGTTTGTCCCCATATTTCCCCATGGAAATGGTCTGAATTTATTTTCTGCAGGGAGATAATCGCTTTGTTTCATTTAAAAGATTTAGTAGAAGAAAATTTCTATGTATTTTTGTGTCTTTTTAAATTTGAATTTGAAAAACAGAGAAGCAGGGGGCAGTGCACCTAAGTGATAGGCAATTAGTCCTAATGACTAAGAACATAGGACATTTTAGGGTACATGTTTTTTTACAGACTGGATAACAAAAGGCTATTTTTAAAGCTTCTTTTTTAATAAAATGGAGAAAGTATATAAAATGAGTTTTGTTTTCTTTAAAACAAAAGAGGGAAGGCAGGCTTTAGATTGAGAAACTATACAAAATGACAATAGCAACAAAAGAGTTGCAAAACATTCTTTGAATCAAACATTTGCCATATTTATAGATAGTCTGGAAATCATACTTAATTTAACTGATCTAACTAAAAATGAATAAATAGTCATATTTTGGGACAGCACCATATATAAACTCTGTTATGGTTTGGATGTGAGGTGTTTCCCGAAAGCTCATGTGTCAGAAAAATGCAAGAAAATTCCTAGAAGAAATGATTGGGTTGTGAAAACCTTAACCCAATCAGTGAATTAATCCCAATGAGAATAACTAAGTGGTAACTGGAAAAGGTGGGCATCGGGGGTGTGGCCTTGGGGTATATTTGTATCTGACTAGGGGAATCTCTCTCTCTCTCTCTCTCTCTGTTTTCTGATCATCATGTGAGCTGCTTCTCTCTGCCATACCCTCTCCATGATGTTCATCCTCACCCTGAGCCCGGAGGAATGGAGTCTGCTGTCTATGGACTGAGACTTCTGAAACTGTGAGCCCCTAAATAAACTTTTCCTCCCATACAGTTGTTCTGTTTGGGTCCTTTTAGTCACAGCAGTGAAAAAGCTGACTAAAACAAACTCTATACCTATAAATTACTGTATTGAAGGTTTTTATTAAGGTATTTTCCTGTACAGAAAAACCCATGAAATATCTAAACATGTAACAAGTACATGGATTACACCAATTTCATAAAATATTGAAATGCTCTCTTCCTCTTGTAATTTTATTTTTCCACTAGATGCATCTAAAGTCTTGGCAATGCTTTGGATATGGGAGACATCAATCTTCACAATCGACTGTGTCCATATTTTATTTATTCTATTTTTGGCTTTGCTTTCAAGAATCTTCTTAAAAGCATCTGTGACCTGTAGCCAGTCTTAGTCAATTGTCTGAAGTTGGGTCTAACATGAAATTTAATAATAGGGCCAATATTCAATATTCAATATTCAATACCTCATAATAAGCCTGTACTCCCAATCATTCATTCATGTATTTATTCATTTACCTACTTTTGGTGCTAGTATTGAACTCAGGGCCTGGCACATGTTAGGCATATGCTCTACCACCAAGCAACATCCCAGTCCCCAATCATGCATTTAATTCTATTCTATTAAGATATATGTGCATGTTGCTGCTTGTTTATACAAGTGTATCAATGTGTCTTCACTCACCTCTATAGACTTTAGCTTTTATTTCTAAATTAACATAAACCCAGAATATAGAGCAAGGAAACCAAAGGCAGAATCACAAGAAATAGACCTAATGCATATTGCCACTTGACTTTGATAACACATCAGACACAAATAAAGAGGATGCCTCACTTTTAGATCTACTCATTTGCTTTGTAAGAAAGTAATAGTCAACAGTCCAATTTGCTGCTAATAATACCTACCCTTTGTCTAATAGTTGGCTGAGAAATTCTACCTATAACCTAAACGACCATGTAAGACACTAAATCGTTTTAATCTCAACTAAAATTCCTATCCGACAGTGATGTGGCATGGGAAAGAGGTGGAAAGTATCACAAAGTCTAAAGGGATGCTGCAGGATATTTCTTAAGAGTAAAGCAAATAGCACTTGGTGGAGCTCAGACCTCAGAGGCATTCACCAGGAGATACCTTACATTGCTTAAATTCTTGCTAATGCTCTGAAATAGGACTGTGTGTGAATTTGACTCACTTGATATCTAAATTACCTAAGATCTGGATAATTCCAAAAATGCTTCTCCAGAAACAGTTTAATTTCATCCTGTTGGCAAAGATTTTTAGGACATGAAAAAGCATTCCTTGGGTTCTAAAAGTCCATGCCAAGAAAATCCATCAAGATAAGTCTTCTACACAGAATATTTTTTTCAACATCAATAATTAAATTGCTGAGAGTAATACCTAGGCCCCAGTCAGAGCTTCCTTGAAAACTTCTCCGAGTGAATTTATAGTACTGAGGCTAAGAAAAATCAGAGGCAATTTCCCCTGGTCTTTAGAACTTACTGGTTTCCCTAGAATAGAATAACAGGAGAACAGCTCTCCACACTTGATTTCAGTTTTTATTTTGTTTCAAAATCATGATGAGAAATCAGAAGTTATAAAGGTTAGTTCTTTGTTTTATCCTGGTGGTTTTTCCTTCTCACTTCAGGAAATTGTAACCCTTATGCTGTTTTTCAAAGGGGAAAGGTTATCTAAGACCAAGAATCCCATAAAAATTAATTCTACTTTTTCCTCAATCGAGAGATCATTCAGAAATAGTAGCCTTGGCCCTGCTCTAATCCACCCCCATCAGACTCAAGGCTGATTTAGGGAGATGCTGGCCCTTGGGCACTTGGTACCCCATGCTTTCCTAAAGCATCTGGGTATTTTATTTTTTTATTTTATTTTATTTTATTTTATTTTATTTATTTTATTTTATTTTATTTTTTTATTTTATTTTATTTATTTTATTTTATTTTATTTTATTTTATTTTATTTTTAGTTTGGCTTGCCATAAATATCTGTTGGAAGAACTAATGGACAAGCAATAGATTGGAGAGTAAATCATGCAAGATTATACTGTACCTCGACAGCTGCCAATCCGAATGATAGTCCAATAACTATATCAAGGTGGTTTGAAACCGAGGCTCTTATAACTGGTTCACATGTCTGTTCAAAAAAAAAAAGTTACCTTTTGTTAAAATGTAGACCTTAATTAATAATTATTTATTTAAGATTTTTATTCATTTGGTCAACTTTTTATATTGCTCCCAAGGATCACACTCAACTTAAAGCAACTGGATTCTTGTTCCCCTCCCTGCTAACCTTACCCTTGCTTTGGAAGGTTACACCTCCTGTGATTTGTTCATCTACTAAAAAGCATCTGAGTAGCAAAATTCTGCTCAATTTTGTAATTACTGAATCAAGGATCTTTTATTATAAATAACAACTTTTTATACTAATATATTCCTAAATTATAAAGAATTTGAGGAGCAAACTTTGCTTCAACTTTTGAGTTGCTGAACCTAGGGGTCGATAATTATAAACCATGTGTGTGTTTTTTTTCACAAATATCTCCCCAAATTATAATTTTTAAAACTTAAACATGATAAATAATGAATTTTATCCTAACTTCAGATATTTTAGAGATTTTTGTTGTTGTTGTTGTTGTTGTTACCAGAGATATTGAACTCAGGAATATTAAACTCACTGAGCCACAACTCCAGCCCTATTTTGTATTTTATTTAGAGACAGGGTTCTCACTGAGTTGCTTAGTGCCTCATTTTTGCTAAGGCTGGCTTTAAACTGGCGATTCTCTTTCCTCTGCCTCCTGAATCACTGGGATTACAGTTGTATGCCACCACACCTGGCTATTTTAGGTTTTTAATCAGCAGCAGAGAGGTACTTGGGTGAAGTTGTAGCTAATCATGTTTTTTAAAACAAAAAATTTAAAATCCTTTGATATCTCCTAGAAGGTAAAAATTATGTCTGCCATTATGCTATTATGTTAGATAAGACATTTAGAAAGTGATCTCTCTGCTATATTTTTAAAAATATTTTTTAGTTGTCAATGGACCTTTATTTTATTTATTGATATGTGGTGCTGAGAATCGAACCCAGTGCCTCACACATGCTAAGCAAGCGCTCTGCCACTAAGCCCCTGCCCCAGCCCTCTGCTGTATTTTTGATGCTTATTCAAACTAACATGCAATTCTAATTTCAAATAATTTCAGACCACATTTAAAAATTTCAACAATTATAAACCATAAGGATAATTTTTAAAATGGAAAAATACTACACAGTGTAGTAGAGGTATTGCCTGTATTGTCATAAAATGTATCATCCCTATGATAGTCATATGTGTACAAAAGGCTCATAAAATATTACTACTCATAAAATAAAAGTTCTCCAATGGGCTTTTATCTTTTCCCTTCATCCTGAATTTAGTGGGTTTCTCTATGCACATCCAATCCAAAGCAGTAAGCATTTGAGGAGATTATCATGTCATTTAGGGTTAACTGAGAGATTAATGATAGTATCTACTGAGTCACACTTATTATACTTGAGGGTTTTTCTTTCCCTTTTCCCCAAGATAAGGAAGCTATCTTGGCAAACAGGAAGGAAAAAAGAATTATGAATCATGGACATTCCAGATTTCATATTTTTCCAGACTTCTTACAAATGACACACGACAGATGCAAGTATTTTATGAATTTCTGATCTTCCTTTTGGGAACCTGGGGCAGCTATCAACCTACATTCAGATGAATGTTGTGTGAATTTACAGGGACTATCTTTCTTTTTTCTCCTGATAATACTTTTCAAAAATAGGCTTTTCAAAACCCTGAGGCAAAATATCTTTGAGTTTAATATTTAATAGGAGACAGTAATCTGCAATTGAATTTAGTCATTTCCTCATTATCCTAAGTGGAAACTACATTCATTTGCACTATATTTATTTCCTACTCTTTGAAGATATTGTGCCTCTAAAATTAGGTAGGGAATAAAGGACAGAATAAAGGAAGAACAAAAAATACGAAATTTGTAAGCAATATTACTTTGATGATGAAAAGACATAGTAATATGGTAGTCTGGCAAATAATTTCTCCCCCATCAGTTACTTTGAAATATTAGTACTGGCAATTCTTCAGAACAGTCTCTATTATTCTAATAAGATCAGTGACACAGATCAGTAGTAGAAGGAGAAAATTTTTCTGAGATACTTCATTTCCTTGAATATATTAATCTCAGGAGCTATCACTAAGCCCAAACAATACCAGACTGAAAATAATTTTCAGATATTATAGACATTAACTCATTGTGAATCATAATAATTATGTATCTCTCTCCCCAAATGATTATAACTTGCTAGAGGATCCTGAAGCATTTCTGATTTTAGCAAGGGTCTATTTGACATATAATAGGCAGTGAAGAATAACAGCAAATAAATGAAACACTAATGTCAACGTTACTTTTTTATGCATTCCTTCCAAACAGAGGGACAGTTTATGAAAAGCCCTTTGGTGAGGGACAGATGTCACATCCTTTTGTGAAACATGTTCTGAACTTCAAATGTTAACTTAGTTTGGGTCCATAATACCCAAATTTTCCTCTATCCCCACAATACCAACAGTCCCTCAAATGGAAATTGCCTGATTACATTTCTCTCTTCCTAATTTGAGCATCCATGTGTATAACATTGTACCCTGTTCAAGCATAGATTTCAACTGGCTGGCAGAAAGGCTAGCACATAGGTAGTCTGTAAATATTTGATGAATTTATTCAGAAAATAAATATGACAAATACATATTAATAGCCACAAGTCACATAGATATGGCATCTAAAACACATTTTTTTAAAAAATCGTCTTTTAAGTTAACTTTAAATATCCGAAGCAACTCCTCAATTGCAATAGGTAAATTTGTAGGTACATTAAACATTCAGAACCTAAACCCTTAAATGTCACATCCTTTCTTTACACATGTACAATTTCTTGAGAAAAGAAACCTTTGATTTGGGAGGGTGGGGGGAGGCCTGATTTTACAAGCTGAAGTGAAAATATTTATTTCTGGAACTTAGTCTACAATAGGGGGAAAAAAGAGAATAATGATTAAGGTCACCAAAGACAGGCCAAAATAAACTTTTATGTTAGTTTGTACTTTGCTTTCACATGTAAAATGTTACTTTGACCTACTAAAGTTGGGTTTAAATAATACCAAACCCATAGAAGAAATTAATGAAATACTTTAATTTTTTAAATATCTGTTTCTATTTTTTTTCTTTTTTTTTTCTTTTGTACTGGAGATTGAACCCAGGGACAGAGCACATTCCCAGCCATTTTTAAATTTTTGTTTGTAATTTTGAGACAGGGTCTCACTAAGTTACATAGAGCCTCACTAAATAGTTGAAGTTGGCCTTGAACTTGTGATCCTCCTGTCTCAGTGTCCCAAGCCACTGGGATTACAGGCATGCACTATTGAGTCCAGCTCTGCTCTTATTTTTCAGTAAGTATTTCCTTTTTATTTGAGTAATTCCTGAGATTTTCATATCATGATTTCCATTGTACTTGCTGCGTTTCAAATTTTTGTAGAGATTTTCATTGGGAAAATAAAATAACAGAACCACTTATTGTGATAAGTTTGATTTAGTTCCCACCTGTTTATAAACATATCTTCCTGTATAAGTTATACAAGAATCTGATGGACTTGAACATTTACATGACTCATAAGCTTCTTCAAAATTACGTCCCCAATCAGCAGCTCCACTGATCAAACCACAGCATTTAAACTGTTCAATGAAAAGTAGAATAAAAACAGTCATTGAGAGATTAAAAACATTTTTAATACATTGAATTATATTCTTCTGAATATCATTATGAACATGTTTCTTATGCTAAAATATAAAGTAAGTCAACTCGCCCAGTTCTCTGAATATAGAAGCAGAAATAAAGGAATCTTTCATTTTGGTCTTAATAGTTATTAATTAAGTAATAACAGGAAAATTTGAGCTAAGATGCAAAAGTCTAAGGAACTTAGAAAACTTATTTTTAAAAAGTAAAGACTTCCCTTCTAGTTTTTTTTTTTTTTTCTAGACAGAAAAGAGAGCAGAGTTAGGTCTAGGTATCCTAGATTTTTAGCAAAGAAGTTTCCAAGTTTTCACAAGAGAGTTAAGGTCTCATTAAAGAACTGTTGCTCAAAAGAGATAAGAAGTGTTAAAATTATGATTTTTATCCCATGATTTCTGATCACTTTTGATAGGAGGAAAAGGACGAGAGGTATTTCAAAGACCAATGAGCATGCTCCAGGGGCCCTCGCTGAGATGAACTTGCATAGGTGTCTTAAATATTTGAGGGAAGTACAAATGCAAGCTGGAGCTCTTAGAATAATGTCAGTAAGCTTCAGGCCCAACATAGACAGACACATGACAAAACACCAAAGACAAGGCAGCATCAAGTTTGGCCAAGTTTGAGGAAGAAAAAAAGGGAAGTGATAAGCCCAATCACTCAGGGCATATGGCACATAATATTACTAAATGAAAAAGATAAAAGACATTATCCTTCATCTTGCTCCTAACTGATCTATTAGGGAGAAGAATCTTCATGCAGAAATGGCAAGGAAAAAAAATTGACTAAAGAAACTAGAACCTTCACTGTCTGATCTTCCAGACTTTGAGGCATTGAAATGGCCAGATTATTGAAAGCACTCTCATTTAATGGGTAGGTGATCATGTTACCCATGTTATTTAAACCTCTCTATGTCATAGATTCTTCATTTGAAAATTCAGATAAGAACAATTCCTAATAAAAACATCTAATTCATAAATTGTAGAAAATCCATATGAAGATATGAAGTGGTGTTAGCTCAGTGCCTGGCTTATAGAATGCTCTTAATAATATGGATTAGCTGCTATAATTTTATTTTTGTCATCTGTTGATGTGTCTGTTATGCTCTCACCTAAATGTGATCTGTTCAACATTGTTATCAAAGATTTGGATAAAGACATAGAAAGCATTTCTTCAACACTATGGTTGATATAGAGATGGGAGTGATGATTAACATGCTGGAAGACTGAATAATCAAGTTTCAAATTTGATTCAAAAAATGGATTTAAACTAACAAATTCAACTGAGGCAAATATAAAGCCTTGTAATTTGGCCCAAAGACTGAATTGTACAAACACATGACTCAGATGATGTTCCTATGACAAAGAGCTAGCAATTTCAGGTGGTTCTAAGGTCAAAATTAGCAAAGAGGATACTCTTGGGGTGGGGGACACTTTCCTGTTCCCATGGTAGACATGACTAATTGCTTATGCTTTCTGATCTCATAATCTTGAATAGCATTAATTGATATGGACACTACATGTCAAATAGAATTTAAATCTCCTAAATACACTCACAGGTCAGTTCATATTTTGTACAATATGCCTCAGGTGTCCTTTGGGAGGCATAGAGAAATAGAGGAGACCAGGTAGGAGGCAGAAAAGCTAAACCTTGTCTTGATGTCTGATCTCAACATCAGCAGTTCTCAGCAGTTTGTAAACAGTTATGGAAGAAGTTGATCGGAACTTGCTGGAAAGTAATATAACAGCTGAACAAAACCTGTATGATAGAGTGAATGGTAGAACACCCCTAGACGAGTAGTCATCACCAAGAACCCAAGAAGGGCACATTCCGTACAATGTTAACACGGTATTTGGGGGAATTCCTGAAATCCAAAGAGAAAACCACTCAGCCTCTGCAACTTCTGTGTATGTGTAGGGTACCCCAGGTCACCCACAGTCAGAGTTTAGGGTAGGAACCTTTTCCCAAAAAGAGTAACTAAAAACAGAAAGCCAAAGCAGATAAGAACATAAAGAAAAAAAACAGAATGGATAATAAGAAAGAAGCATAGAACTACAAACACAAGCAGCTTCAGGCACAGGATTTCTACACAAGAATGGGAGCACATCAGAAGAACATATTCCAACAGAACATTTAGAAACCCACAGCTGGCACTGAGACCTTACATTCCAGGAACAGTGGGCAGCAAATATGACTCAGGACCTAACCCAGAAGCCTCTATTTCATTTTGTCCAAGGTCAGTTTACTAGGAAGGGTCAAGAATGATCAGCCCCACTCAGTGAGTGAACTAGTTCTCAAGAGAATGATTTGCTATAAAAAGAGCAAAAGTGAACCTGCTAGCCTCTAGCTTCCTATCTCACCATGTGATCTCTTCTGTATATGCTCCTACCAGTGTAGCAACCAACTTTTATGAAGCCCTCACCAGAGATGAGCAGATGAGGTTGCCATACTTTTGAACCTTCAGAACCATGAGCTAAATACATCTTCTTTTATACAGTATTCAGCCTCAAGTATTTTGTTACAGCAACACAAAACATTCTAAAACGCCATCTCCTGGGGTTGTTGTATTGTTTGCTACTAAATATAATATCTGATACAAAGTAAATATCAGTGAAAATGTTAGCTGTGATCATTTTATGGAGGAAGAGAGAGTGAGAAATATCCCAGATATGCTACTGTTTAAAAGAATTACGGTTTTTACCCAATCAAGGGTCATAAACTGTCATAATCTGCCATAAACCTATCCTCCTAATCTGTGTCCTAAACTACTTCAAAACTTCATAAGAATCTGGGAAAAAAATAAATACAAATATGCTTGAATTTTTCTTTTTGCAAGGTGACAAGAATGATCAGCTAAAATCTGCAAAAAAAAAAAAAAAAGGTATTCAATCCTTAAGAAATACACCTTAAAAAGTGAAACCAACATTGAATAACTATGCCCAGCTGCCCAGATGACATATGAATTCTAATTACCTCTTTTTGGAATGTAACCATGGTTTTCTGAAATTTTCTTCCTTTTTCATTTGTTTGACTCAAGAGCTGTGCACTTTCGCGGAGAGTTGCCTTCAGAGCACGCTCAGTCTGAAAATTGAGAAGTACTGTTAGATTATTCGCATCAGAGATAGTGTTTCAAATTTTTAGACTTTTCCAAAATTATCAAATATTCTCTGTGTACACACCTCAGGTTTGAATTTCGCTGCTAGGATACCTGCTGTCAACTGCATGAGCAGGATCGGAAACAAACCTATGAAAAACTGGAGAGAAGAAAAGAAAAAAGTAATATCTGTTACCTTCAGTGTATCTAGTAACATCTAGGACATTTCAGCATGACACACTCTTGACAACTTGGATCAGACAGCAGTTGAAATATTAGCCACAATCTTTATTTCCTCCACCCTTTGTATCAAGCTCCCAATTTGGGGTCCATTACTACTCAGGAACATTTGCTTCAAAGACTGATCAAAGAAAGTGGTTCAAACAAAACTACTTTATAGGACAATTGGTATCCGCATGATATTAAAGGAAGGAAAATTTGAAAACATAAGTGAATTTGTTAGACTATTATTTCTCCTTTGCTTTCTTCATCAATTACAAACACATGCAGAGCTGGCTTCAGAACAGTATTGCCACCACCATCACAATTACATGGCATCTTGTTTTATATGTAGATTCCTGAAATCTGCCTTAGATCTGCTGAATCATAATTTTGAAGGATACAGGCTCCCAGATTAATGTTTTGTTTTTTCTTAAACAAGCTTCTCAAGTAATTAAAGTCCCCAAATTGCAAATAAGGCCTTATTAGTTAAAACAACACTGAGATGCTCTTAGAGTTCTATTAAACTCTGTCTCTGTTTCCCCTCACAATAAACAGTTAAAAGTATGGTTTCAAGGACTGACACCATACTTATTTTATTAGAAAAATAAGTTTTAAGTTCTCTTTGATAAATGCTTATATCAGATTTATATATGATAAACAATTGATTTCTTTAAACATTTTTACCATACTCATCCATTATTTTCTACTATATATGTTTAAAGTGAATGCGTAGCCAGGCATAGGGGCACATGCCTATAATCACAGTAACTTGGGAGTCTGATACAGGAGGATGGCAAGTTTGAGGTCAGCCTCAGTAATTTATCAAGACCCTGTCTTAAAATACAAAAGAATATAAAAAGTTGGGGAGGTAGCTCAGTGATAAAGCATCCTAGTAGTTCAATCCCCAGTATTCCCCCCCCCCACACACACACACAGACAAGTGAATGCCTATCAGTTATCACAACCCATTCTATCCTCCTGGAAATTTTCTAAGTGACAAAGTTGATTCTCTCCCTTAAGATTTTCGTAGCTTGGCATGTGGGCATTTTAATAAGATTTGGCCATAATTCACAATCAGAGTCATTTCCTATCATTGACTGAAAATAGCCTCTGCCACTCTCCCACCACACCCAAAGCCTTTCAGTTGCCCAAACCTGTCAGCTCTGGACTGCCAGGCTGTCTTCCTGGAAATGTCATCACCCTGTCACCATACCGTCACCTCTGCCTCTGGCTTGAAAACTCCCTCTTATATCCTTGCCCTTCCGACCATTCCCACACTACAGCTCTTTGTTTACTGACTACTCTTCCCCAGTGGGTTTTAATTATCCTTAGATCTCATATGTCATTTAGCACACTTTCTGGCACATACAGCTATGCAGTCGTGTTGCATGAATAAACAAAGTGAACGAATGAATGGATGGATGATTAAAATATACCCCCTCTCAGAATGTCCTCTAATCTAAACCAGGCTAAGCCAAATCTAAACCACATTAGTGTCTACAATCAAACCTCAAAACAGAAGTTAAAGTTGCATCAATCTTGGCAAGTCTTTTTTGACAGAGAATGGGGACAGGAGATCATCCTCAAGAATCTGAGAGTTGGAATGTCTGGAGAACTCACCAAAAGAAGCATACAGCGATTCTCTTTTAGAGCACCATAACATCCCAGGAAACTCATAACTACAGTGATGGCACCTACAGCAATCAACATATTCACAGAAGAATGGGAGTGAGCCCCATTGTCCCCAGAACTAATAGCCTGGAAATTAAAAACAAAGAGAGAGAGAGAGAGAGAGAGAGAGAGAGAGAGAGAGAGAGAGAGAGAGAGAGAGAAAGAGAGAGAGAAATGACAGAAACTCTTTTCCTCGATGTTCATGTTCATTCAATAAATATCTATTGAGTACCAACTATGTACAAGACCCATTTGGGGGCCCTTGAAACATTTCCATAATCTAAACAAACAAAACTCAACCCTTATACATTTCGTGAAGCTGCCACTTTTCTGAATAATGTTTCCAACCTTATCTTTTTCTAATAATGTTAAAAGTTGGGTGGAAGAAATGTAATGGTTTTTAAAAACTGTTTTTCAAAGCTTAGAAGACCAGCTACTTTTCACTCTTTTTTGATTCACATATTTTGCATTTTATACATAAACTAGCATGTGTTTAGGGGAATTTAATTATTTTAATTCAAAAAGCCCATGTTCTTCAAATCACTGATATACACAATGATAGGAATGAATCTCAGACTCATTGTGTTGAGTGGGGGGGGGGGGTCCTTTATTAAGAGTAAATACTGTTTTGGTTCCATACATACAAAGTTCAAAAACAAGCAAATCCATGGTGATGAAAATCAGAACCTTGTATTCCTTTGAGCAAAGAAGGAAGGGGACATAAGGGACTTTTTCAGATTAATAAAAATGCTTTGCATCTTGATTAAAAAAAAAAAGTCAAGTACTTGATATTCCATTATCAATTCTATCTTCTCTTTCCTGGAAGGCATATTCTAGAAACTCTATTTTACCTACTACTGTTAAGTATTCAGATGAGAGGCAAACATCCTAGGGCCTTTCATGGTAGATGGGCTACATATCTGCCATAACTCAGTTCACCTGGCAGGCAGCACAGCACCCTCTTCTTCACCACTCTCATTACTCCTAGCCTCAGTCTACCAATGTCCTCCAGGTATATGTCCAGTAGCCCATCACAATTAGAGTGACAGCTTACACCAGATGTTAACATTTTTTAGGCAGGTAGCCCATCTGTTTCCTATAATGACCACCACGGCTGCTGTCTGCTAGACGGTCTCTAGGAAGGGCACTAGTCCCTCCACCCACTCAAAGACTCTGCCTCCCAGAATCTGCCATGCAGCCCAGAGGTCACCTCCCTTAACAGTCAGTACAAAAATAACTGTTGCCACTACTAATAATTCTTTTGTTTTAAAGACTTAATTTTTAAGCCTAGAGAAAACCTTTATTCAACAATGAATAGGAAGAAATGTGTAGAAATGATAAAAGTATTAAAATGAAGCTCTATATTCCCATCAGAGGCCTAGGAAATAACTAGGTTTGCAACCCTAGGATGGTCAACTAACTCATTGGGCCCAGTTTTCCATTTATAAAAGGGAAGTGGGTCAGGTCTGTGATTTCCAAAGACTCTTTTGTCTCCAAAAGTCTATGCTTACAAATAATGTTTCAATTTACATATTTTGAAAGTTTGGTTATGTCCTAAGGCTTTCTGTTTGCTTTGGGGGTTTTCTGTTTGTTTGATTGTTATGATTTGGAGCTAGGAAAATCATTTTTGTTAATTAAACAGGCATGACATCTGGGTCAAAACAGATGGGACAAAAAAGCAGCCTTAAGGAAGAAAAACATAAGTAGCTATATATGAATTCACTATCAAATATTGCTCTTCAGAACACTGCAGCCAGTACAGGCAAACCTAAGGCACACGGAAGGATGGAGACTCTCTAGCTGGGTTATTAGAACTTAGGATACATAGCCCTGAGTTAGAAAGAATAGGCCAAATACCTAACACCTGTACTGGAACTTCTGGGGACAGACCATGCAGAGTGAACCACAGCCAGTTGAGAAAAAAAAAAAAAAAAAAAACCGCTGTGTTGACTGCCTGTCAGTCACTATTCCAAGTCCAGCCCAATAAGTGGCTATTGTTATAAAGAATGAAGTAGAAACCCCAGGTGAGATGCTTGCTCCCACAGAGACAGACACAGCAGCTTTTTAAAAGCTGCAGTGCCTTGGGTGAGCACTGAGTCTATGTGTATCTTAAGACAAGGGGAGGCTTTCTACAGGAAATGGGATGGCTGGGCCTGAAAGAGGAGCATTTGGGTGTCATCTTTAGAGAAGAAGGGATCTGCTGGAACAAGATGGCTACCAGCACGCTTTGCCTCGTGGTGCAAAATTTATCCTGAGGAAACCAGGTCCCTCTGAGACACTTGAGCAGAAAGAGATGCCACCTCCCTGACAATCTTGTTTTTTTTTGTTGTTGTTGTTTTAAGCCCATGTTTTCTCTTCTAAAATGGCTGCCTCTGTTTTTCCAGTAATAAATCAAATCTTCTCTCAGTCCTGATTCTTTGTCACTGCCTTCAGATTAATGTGAATCAAAACAATTTCCCATGTCAGGCGGGTTAATGTTGTTCTGGCCAATTGAGACTTTCGTTCAGGGTAAGAGGCCGACAGCATAAGAGTCAAAATGTAACTAAAGATGCTGTCGAGCCCCATTAGTACATTCTCCTCCCCAGATGTGGAGTCACACCCTCTCAAGGACAACAGTTCTCCTTTAACACGTTCAATGTGTGCAGTTCCTTTACAGACTAAACACCACGTTTGTTTACCAGAAACAGTTGGGAGAAAGAGACTGTCAACCAGAAACATGAAAATGAAATAAAATAAAATGCAGACTGCACACACATCTTTAAAGGACCAAAAGCACCCTCAAATGGCTGTTAGTCTCTGTGCCCAATTATGAGCTCCAAAGTCAAACCGATTCTGCACACTTTCCAGTATTCTCCTTGGACCCAAATATCAGAGACCCAGGCCATTAGGCAGTCAGAGTTGCATTTATCTGAATAAGTAATAAATGAAAATGATAAATTTGGGAGTTACCGACTACTTGCCACAACCACCCCACCACCCAGTTTCTTCACGGAGGCAAAGCCCAGAATGAGGAAGCAGCTAATTGCCACAATGATTCCCTAGGTTCTCAGGGTAGAAAGAAAATTACAAAAAAAAAAAAAAAAAAAAAAAAGGAGGAAAAAAAAGAGAAAGAAGAAATACTAAATAAATTTTCAGAAAACCCAACCACTCAACCACTTTAGGAAAGGAAGCAAAACAGATGTTAATTTGCTTTTTTTCCACCAGGCTGTGTCCAAAGGCATTTAGCTGCACCACATAATAAATTCTAATAGAAAATGCATTGTCTTAATTACTGGCTTCATATTATCTTTGTAGCTATCAAATAGACATCAAATTGCCTCGTAAGAGGAAGACTTTTGAAAAGACATTGCAATCGTGAATAATGACAGTAGCGTAAAAACCAAGAAGAACAAGTCAACTGCTTTACATCGGGTACGAATAATAAATTAAGGAAAGGATTGCTCCTGACAGGAGGGAGGAAGGAAAAGAAAACTGGGAACAGGGGACCCAGGAGATAGTGCCAGGGTAGCATTGTAAGTATTATATTGGGGGAACTGACAAAACAATCTTCCCACACTCTCACCTCCACCCTCCTCCTTCCACACTATGAGTCTATGGTATGGAGCAGAAATAGCACATGTGGAGTCCAAAGGCTGGAGCCAGAATCAACCCTCAGAACTAACCTTCCTTCAAACCTGTGGAAATGTTAGTAAGAGCTTTGCCCAAGGGATAGAAAGGCTTACAGTGATGGGAAGTGGTCATGTTGATCCTGCATAAATAGCAAGAAGCTGGGCATGTGCAGCTACCTGCAGAGTCGCACTAGCATGATCAGCCCCCTGTTGTTATAAGGGGTGGCCCTCGATGCTAGCTGTGACAGATCTGCTACCTTTACAACACTGATGTACATTCTTCTCCAAGAGTACTTCTCATGTTCTTTCCTTTGGGGCCAGTCACCTGGGAATCAGCTAAATATTGTCAATACCTGGTGCCATATAAATTGTTCTTCTGGGTGGGGAGGAGGAGCAGTGGTCTACATCCCCAAGCTGTGTCAAGCCAACCATAAACAAATACTGAAGGAGTCAAATTTCCAGGTTGGCCCCTTTCTACCTCCACTTCCACTGAACTCTTCCTAATTGTGGGATAACACCTCTTCCACTCTCCAGAAGGTTATTCTATGCATAGTGATTACTTTCTTTGTTCCATGCACAGTGCCAGGAACATAGTAAGTAATTTTGATTGAATTATAAAATCAAATTATCAGTACAATTACATGAGGCAATTAAGAAAAACCTACAGAAATATTTACTATTATTAATATTGCCATTGCTTTCATTATTATATGAGAAACTATTTGGGGGAAAGATTACATTGTATTTATTTTTATATTACCCCTTGTCCATTTTGCTTGCTCGGATCCATATTGCTATTGACAGGATCAAGATACCACATAGCTGCAGCAAAAAACAAAGAGTGTTACAATTAAGATAAAATGAAACACTATTTCCAAACACCCTATCCATCTGGTTGCAATAGTTTGTCATTAATTGTACATTACAGCCTGACAGACACAACTGTCATACTAAGGCATATTCATATAGATAATTGCTAAAGTATTATAATACACAAGTTTGACAAGAGTAACTCTGCTTCCCATTCCTAGTCCACTCATAGATCTATAGCCAAGAAGTCATCTCTACTAAGAAGGGAAAAACTATTTTTCATGATTTAATTCTAATCATACATTTTTTGCTTAGATAATTGCACAAAAAAGATAAGTCACAACAGTTTAAACATAAAAGATCCTTAGAGTGCCTGTGGGTTTATTCCTGGAAAGCTATCTTAGAAAAAGATGGGAATAACTAATTACCAAATATTCATTCAAAATGTAAGAGGGAGGTTGAAGTTGGAATCAAAAGGAAACAGTAGAATATTTAACAAAATGCCCAGTTAAGCAACAAAGATGTATATCAACCACTACTTTTTGAACCTCAATAAACTCTTTAAAAATACGCATTTTTAGGTAGTAAAGCTTAGCCAGAGAAAAGGAACAATGGAGAACAGTACTTAAAGTCTTAAATTCCTTTAATGACTTTACCAGATTATTTAATTTGGAGCAAAGCCAACACATAAAATGGAAAACACATTTTATTTTAGTGTTAAGGAAAACCCTTGTCTTTCAGAGTTTAAGAAATAAAGATATATATTGTGGATTCAAAAAAATCAAAGATTTATTATTAGATAGATATGTTGAGAGCAGCTCTGGTAACATACCAGACTTGGAGGACTTTCTAACCTTTCCGTGCTTTGACAAAGGAACGTCTGAGTTCTCCAAAACCCACTGACCTTGGAGCGTCCTGGTTTTCATGTATGGGTGAGCCATATGCCTGGAACCTCCAGCAGCACTGTTAATGGTTTCTTATTAAGTTTGCAATGGAAATAAGGTCAAGGGCCTTGTTACCAAGTAGGGAGGTTCAATGAGCAGCTGAATGTAATCTGTGCTCCCTAAATGACCTCAAAAATTATCCAGGTCCAAAATCTTCATTTTGGTTAAAGAAACTGAAATCCTGAGAGATAACAGGCATGTGGTAAAACTTCAAGGCAACTCATAACCAATCTACCCCTACTGCATGTTTCAACTTCTATAAAATAATTGAAATTATTCTAATGAGATTGAAAGGTAAAGCTCTTTATCACCTACCAATGCAATTATTTTACACCCTAAAATACAAACTATCCAAAAACAAAAATAGCTTTGGAACTTAAAAAATCTCCCTTACTTCCCCCATGCTCCACCTCCTTCCACAAAATTCTAATTTCATTTGTTAATGGAAATAAGTGCTCTTGTTAGCAGTTATTTGCTAATAAAGCTGTGCGAATTTGTGTTAAATGATAATGAGACCCTCTGAGATTTTCAGTAATTTTATACCACTGGATTTTTTGTTGTTGTTGTTGTTTGATTTGCTAACTGATATTTGCTTTTTCTTCTTTTACAAATAGACTTATATTGATTGATTGTCTTGATAGTCTCTCTAGCTTTTAGCTTTGATTAAAATTAATATTAATTATCCTAGTAGCTAATTGTGATCACCGTGCTTACTGGTATTTACTAAACTGTCATATAGAAAACTTTAAGAATGCTTACAGAATAAGAGTGTGACGTTTTTTGAAATACCAACTCTCTTTGTGTTACTGTTTACTTCACTTTAACAAAGTTGTTAGAAAGTAAATCACATATATAAATTTTATTAAATCAACCAAATGTGCCAATTAAGTGGCAACATTTAGTCTTCTCAGCCACTGAACTTTGTCAGTAACATCAGCATGGAAAAGGAGTATCAAATGATTTCAGAAGTCAAGAACATTTTGCCCAAATTCAATCTTCACAATTAGACAAAATTCTTTCAGAGATTTTGAAATTGAATAAACTCTCATCTCTCTCTCTCTCTATCTCTCTCTCTCTCTCTCTCTCTCTCTCTCTTTCAAACTTTATTTTTTTTAAAAAAGAAATATATCATTCTCATCTTATTTGGAGAAATTCACATGTAAAGATCACAGTCTATTACCACAAAATTATTTATAAATGCTTTGACTGACTTTAAAAGTAAATTTATTTTCTATCAAAAATGATCATTCCAGAGTTATGATTAATACTAAATTATTTCATCTCCTCTCTTTGAGCATCAATCATAATGGTTCTTTGAGCCCTTTCCCTAGTATGGCCTTCAGGGTTTGTCCCCTGATCTTTTTATACTGATTTAAACAACAAAAACTATGAATTAAGAAAAAAGTATCTACTCCCTAGAAGATGGAGTAGTAAATGCTATATTTGTCCTTGGGTTAAGCTCCAGTAATTGTTACTAAATTGTTATTTTTTTCTATGGTATCTTTTCTCTTTCAAAACTATTTCCTAAATTTGCACTCCATAATAAAAATACTGCTATTTAGAAAAGTGACTTGTTTCTTTTCAGCCACTGGGCTGTTACACCTTTTGTCATCATCCCAGTTCAACCAAGGCTAAATGTATAATGTCAGGCAATCACTGTTTTTACAAAGGTCACACATTTCAGCCATTTTTAAGTCTTTGTCTTGGGGCATCTTCAACTGATAGAATAAAATATAATTGTGTCTGATTATTTTTAAGGTACCCCTATCTTAGAGTTATATTTACTTTGCTTCCAGATTTTTAATTATTCTGAGCACATTCAATTTAGGGGCCCAGGCAAAGCACACACACACAATGATAGACAATGAAATGCTGGTTCCCAGATTCACTCCAAAACTCAACTCAAAATGGATCAAGGACTTAGGTATACAACCAGAGACCCTGCATCTAAGAAAAAGGAGGACCTAATCTCCATCAGGTAGGATTAGGCCTCAACTTCCTTAATAAGACTCCTGTGGCACAAGAATTAAAATCAAGAATCAATAAATGGGATGGATTCAAACTAAAAAGTTTCTTCTCAGCAAAAACAATCTGTGAGGTAAGCCTACATCTTGGGAGCAAATCTGTAAGCCTACATCTTGAGAACAAATCTTTACTCCTCACACATCAGATAGAGTACTAATGTCTAGGGTATACATAGAACTCAAAAAGCTAAACACCAAAAAAACAAATAACCCAATCAATAAATGGGCCAAGAACATGATGAGATACTTCTCAGAAAAGGATATGCAATCAATCAACAAATACATGAAAAAATGTTCATCATCACTAGCAATTAGAGAAATGTAAATCAAAACCACTCTAAGATTTCATCTCACTCCTGTCAGAATGGCAGCTATTATGGATAGAAACAACAATAAAAGTGTTGGCGAGGATATGGGGAAAAAGGTACACTCATACACTGCTGGTGGGACTGCAAATTGGTGCAGCCAATATGGAAAGCAGAATGGAGATTTCTTGGAAAATTGGGAATGGAATCACCATTTGACCCAGCTGTCCCTCTCCTCAGTCTACACCCAAGGAACTTGAAAACAGCATACTACAGGAACACAGCCACCTCAATGTTTATAGTAGCACAATTCACAATAGCTAAACCATGGAACCAACCTAGATGCCCTTCAATAGATGAATGGACAAAAATAAATGTGGCAAATATACACAATGGAATATTACTCAGCAATAAAAGAGAATAAAATCATGGCATTTGCAGGTAAATGGATGGCATTGGAGAAAATAATGCTAAGTGAAGTTAGCCAGTCCCAAAAAACCAAATACCAGATGTTTTCTTTGATATAAGGGGGCTGATTCATAGTGGGATAGGGAGCAGAAGCATGGGAGGTACAGACGAACTCTAAATAAGGCAGAGGGGTTGAAGGGGAAGGGAGAGAGCAGGGATAATTAATGATGGTGGAATGTGATGATCATTACTATCCAAAGTACAGGTATGAAGACACGAATTGGTGTGAATATACTATGTATACAACCAGAGATATGAAAAATTGTGCTCTATACATGTAATAAGAATTATAATGCATTCTGGAAAAAAACAAATAAATAAAATAAAGTTATTGTGTCCATCTTAAAAAAAAAAAAAAAGAATCTTTTGCTGTCTCCAAGGCTCCTCATGCTTTGGCTTCTTTCAGTTGCTAATACCTTTGCCTGTACAGCTTGGCTCCTTCTTCTCATCTTGCCTCTCTTACCTCATCCTATTTCCCCTCATTAAGAACTGTCCACTCAGTCCCCAGTCATATTTTACTGTGTCTTCAAGCAAAAAGCCCCATGTTCCATATTTACTCCAAACCCTAAGAAAGTTTAAAGATCTACCATACTCCAAGGCCTGAACTTTCTGAGAAAAGCAAAATAAGTTTGGGCATTTCATCCATTTTTAATATAAGACTCAGAGAAATAGGTTTTGTACCTATAACTTCTCTATCATCTATAGCACCTCGAACTCTCTAATTTGCAGCAAACTTTAGAATGAATGGTTAGGAATGATTTTTGCATTTACATATTTCTCTTCAATTAGTATTTCTAACAAACAGAAATTCCTGCATTTCTATATGGCATATTTCAAGTTCTCTCCCAAAAGAAACCAGTATGATTAGTTTAAATGACCATATGCATATCTTAGAGATATTTCAACATCTGGCCCTACTTTTCAAAAAATTAATTTTGAAAGTTACATCAGAAAAGAATGCATTTGAAAACATAAGGTCATCGGCATCTACAAGAAAACCACATCAGTGGGACCGTTAAAATTTTTACTTAAGTAAACATTAGGAATGTGACAAATTGCTAATTTCCGATGAAGGATCATAAAATTCCAACCATGAACTCTGGGTTGAGGGTAGATGGAGGAGTAGAGACAAGAACATTCCCTAACCTCAAACCACCCCTCCTACTGCCTAGATTTTGATTTAAAATACTGGTGTCACGTGTTGGCTAAGAAATAACCAATGATCTTTAAAACCATTGCTTTCAATTTTCTTGCTGAAAGACTCCATTTCAAGATTTCTTTCATAGAGATTATAAAACCCAAGACACGTGCTGCCAGGAAGAGCCCCTGAAGGAAGTTAGAACTGTCTACCTGAAATCCACAATGTGGGAAAGACTTTGTGTTATCAGAGAAACAAATAGATATGGCAACCATAAAACCATCGGAGCTCCTCCAGGAAATTGGTGACAATGTGGTATAGACCTCTTACAATTGACCTTGAACCTCAGTCTTAAATATATAATCCCAGATCTATGATAAACTCTTATCCTAGATTGTCTTTATTATTTGAGTTTAAAATTCAGATCTAGGGGCTGGGGATGTGGCTCAAGCGGTAGCGTGCTCGCCTGGCATGCGTGCGGCCCGGGTTCAATCCTCAGCACCACATACAAAACAAAGATGTTGTGTCCGCCAAAAAGTAAACATTTAAAAAAAATTCTCTCTCTCTCTCTCTCTCTCTCTCTCTCTCTCTCTCTCTCTCTTTAAAAAAATTCAGATCTATTGCAAATTCCTGATATTTAATTTTAAAAAGGAGGAATTAACAACCACTACCAACTTTGCATACTGCTTTTATGCAAGAAAGACATATTTTTTACTGTTTTGGAATTTGAAGATTATTATTGGTTTTGGTGCTTTGGGACATCTTACTACAATGGGAGCCATACATTTATTAATATATTGATAGTTGGTTTGTTTAAAAGGACCACATATATTCTGTATCATAGAAAGAAGACAACAACTGCAGTTTTCAGAACTTCCTGGAGAAATAACTGATTACAAGTCAGGGCAGGAAAAAGCATCTTGGAACATGTTGATATACCACATAATGAAGAAGTTGCCAAAGTTATTAGAATCGTGTCAAATAGACTCAGAAGTCAACCTGAAGAAGCTCCTAATGGTCAAACATGGAACAAATGGCACATCAATAAGGATAAGAACTATAATGAAATTTACCTATTATTTCATAAGGATACTTAAAGACAAGCTTATCACTGTTGAAAACTGGTTAACTGAAGATTAAGAAAGAAGTATTTATGCTACTTTTTATTTAATTATGTATGATATACACATAATTAAATTAAATTTCAAACACACACACACACACACACACACATTCTGAGTACCATTGGTAATCAAAAAATAAATCAGTAAATGAGAATATTCTCCTTATAGAAAATTTTCAGGTAATATGTGAAGAAAACTTGATAGAATTGGAATATCAGCAATTTTAATCTCTTAGTGAACTAAAAATGGAGCACTTGAGCATCATTACAAAAATGTGACACATCTTTCTGATGAAAGAATACATTATCACTTATGAGGTAGTTATACAAAGAAAAAAAACAAATCTAAAACTTACCAAACCATCTCATGCAAAAATTAACTTACAGATTGTACACAAAGACATATTAAATTACACTTTAAGTACACAAATAGAAAAACTCAGACCATAGAAAAATGTGATAAGCCAAACAGCACATATCACTATATAAAATTTGAAGGGGGAGAAAAAAGATGATGTGGGAGGGATAATCTACAGATTAACTACAAATGACATGAAAAAATATCAATCAATCACAATTTGTGGACTTTATTTGGATCAGAATCCTAACAAACATTTCTGAGGCAACTGGAAATTTGAGCCCTAGATAGATATTTCAGAATTGATTGAGAAATTCTCATAAAGTTTTTAAAGTATGATAATTATGTTATGGCTACACTTTTCAAAGAAGTATTTTCTTTCAAAGATATGTACTAAAATATTGATAAATGAAGTGGCATATACTTAAGATATGCTTCAAAATAGCAGGGGATGGGGAAATGAATGAGTATGAATGGAGAAAGATTGGCTGTGGATTCAAGGCTGTTGGGGCTGGGTGATGGGGTCACTTAGCCTAGTTTATCTTTTGTGAATGTTGGAAACTCTCCATAAAAATCAGCTAAAAACAAAACACTAAGCCAAAGAACATAAGCATTTGCTTCTTTATATTCTACTCCCAATGTTTTAAATATTTCAAGGAAAGAAATTTATCAGAACTAATGTTAAAAAGTGCATACGTGCATGAGCTTCATTTAATATTTTCAGAAGCAGCCCATTTTTTGAGGGAAAGAAGAAAGAAGAAACCTTCTTTTTATTTTATTTACTTACATACTCATTTATTTAATTTACCAGTATGTCATCTGTATTCATTAGGGCTACTGACCATTAAATGGAAAGTTATTCTATGCAATAAAGCTGTACTCATGTAGTTAAGTTTAATAAAGTTCATCATTATTTTAATAGGGTATAAATTTACCAACACATAGATACTGGCTTTCTGCTTATTAAAGACAACCAAATTCAAAAGCAAAAACAGTTCTATTCTCATTGTACCATATGATCTATTTTTCAATTCAGAATACAACATGATTTTTCTTATTTAAGCACTTTGGCTATTCTACTAATTTACTTCTGGACAGTTTTAAAGCTGTATTATACATAGTAAAAATGATAAGGTCAATTATCAACATCTCAGCCTACCCTTTCACACGTGTTTTTCCATTTTCCAATGTTAGATGCTACTTACAACTTACTTACAACTTAGTCTACCTCAATAGGCTTTCAAGAGAAATATAATTTGCTAAATACAAACCCTGCCACTTAAAAGTAGGTTGATGACACATCAAAATTCTAACTTTTAAAATCCTCAAACATATCCACTAGCCTAGTTTAATCTTCTTGTGATTAAATAATTTTATTGTTTTCCCCTAAATTTTTTCAAGATCCATTGTTTTTCCTTGAGGCTCTTAAAATTATCCTCTTCTCCTGTCTCTCTCATCCCACAACTAGTTAGTCACCTGTTTCAAACCCAAATGTTAAAGGAAAAAAATCAGGAGACAGGCTCTCGGTGAATAAAAGCACATTTTCTCCAAAGAGTCCTAAACAGAAAAGCTCTGATTGATACATAACTAAGAATAATTTTCCTTTAATTAAGGGGTATTTTTCCTCTGATTGTTTTTGCAATGATATCAAAACATTTAAGCAGTGTTTATCCTTACAGATCCTGAAGTGCACTTTTTTTTTAAGTCATTGGCTTATTTTCAATTGCTGAAATAACCAAAGAAAGAACAATCCAAACAAATACATGGAAAATACATTTTCCTCCTCATCCTATTTCTCTAGTATAGAGTCTCTTCTTATTTATGATATTTATATCAGGATCCCCTTTCTTGCATAAAATTGATAATTAAAAGAAAAACACTTACCAAGAACACAAAGTTGAAGATAAACATAGAATATTTTACACAGGGATTCGCACCTGCCATTTCGAAAAAGAAGCAGGAATCCAGATACACAGTGAAATTAATGATTCGTTAGAAGATTGTCCTTCAGTATGCTCTGGAACTATTTGCCTGCAGCCAGTCCTGTGCCCACAGCCTCAGAGCATAAATAGAAAGCAAAGAAGTAGACAGGGGGGAAAAAAGAGAGAAAACTAGTTATTAAAATGGATAAAAAATTAACCCACACATTTAAATATCCCAAAGGCTATATCCAGGCCAGTTTGTGCTTTTGCTTGTCATGGCTCCTGAGGCACTGGGCCAGGATAGTTATGATCCTTTCTCAAAAACTGCCTCCTCTAAAGTAAACAGATATCAAGTTAAGGGAGGGTTGTTGGAGCAGAGGGGAGAATGGCACAGCAAGATAGTAGGTGGTTAGACTTCAGCCTTATTTTCCTGCCTTCTGTTTGGACCATAGGGAAATAGGTCGTTTTGCTCTCACGTAAAGGGACATTGTGTCTCAACTCATTTTTGCATTGTATTTTGTCAAAAATACAATTTTTCCCCCAAATGCAGTAAAATGTGTGCTAAAATTCCAAGCTTAGGTAACCTTTTATCATTAATCTCAGAATTGTGAAACAACCATTACATGTATCTCTGCCTTCCAAAGCTTCTGACTTTCAAAACAATCCCAGGTAGCTGCTTTAACTGCATCTCAGTGGCACGAGGTGGAGGGGGAGAGGCAGTCTTGCCTTTAATGTAAGATCATTCCATTTTCATCTTTATTTCTTTACAATGCAAAAAATAATAGTAATAAATAAAGTTCCCAAAAGCTACTCTCTGACTGCTCCATTGTTTCTTGTTATAATGTATATCCTGTCTTGATAGCTTGGTTTCTTTTAAAGGCGGACACTGTGTTTTCTTTCTTCTGATAGATTATGTGTAGCAATAGCTCCATCCCACTAACTCAGTTTCTGGATTCTGGATTCTCTTGGACCAAAAAAATCAATTAATTAATTAAAAATTAAATGGAAAGGCAGCCATGGATCTGTTGAATGTAGATTCTACAGCTTATTTCTAATGCTAATACAAAGCAACTGTATTCAGATAAAGGCAAAAAATCTCTGATCTAATCAGGGAGGTTTAGACCACTTTGCATAAACAACCCGGGTCACACCAGTTTCCATACCCTGACTCTCAAAGGGAGTTCCCCAAATAAAAAAAAATTAAAAAAAATAAACTTTATATTTCAAAAAATCATTGAGGAAATAATTCCTTAAACTCTTTATAAATTCTATACAATAAGCAAGAATGAACTTCTTTTTTATGGTTAAATTTTTTCTAAATATTTATTTTTTAGTAATACCTTTGTTTTATTTATTTATTTTTATGTGGTGCTGGGGATTGAACCCAGGGCCTCGCATGTGCCAGGCAAGCACTCTACCATTGAGCCACAACCCCAGCCCAAGCATGGACTTCTTCCAAAAGAAAAATATTTTTCTAATTTTCAATAACATAAAATTCTATTCTCTAACAATAAGAGAATATATTTCAATGCATTATTGGCAATAATATTTAGTGTTAAAGGCCAAATTTAGAACTAGTTCTAAAAATAACAATGACTTAATATTTAAATCATCACTAATGTTCTGTGCTGCTTCCTCCTAGGAAATTGAAATAATTTTATACACTTCTTAGTGCTTATGAGATAATCCATGAGTGAAAAAAAGAGTTTTCAGTTGAAAACCAAAAGAATCTGTAGTCCCCAAACAATTAGATATCACATAGAGATAAAATTAAAAGAAAAGCATTTTAAATGTTATTTTGTTGACAAAAATCTAATGAGTACCTACTTATCTTTGGTTTGGAATAGATTTCCTGGTGAACGCAAAATCTCCTTAAAGAGAATACAGTCTGTAGTTAAATCATTCTTGAATGCTGAAATGCAATCAGTGGGTGTGCTTTTACAGGAAAATGACTCTGTGGAATAGAACTCCCAGTCCAATTCAAAACCAATATGGCACAGTTCCTTCTTGTAACTTTCCTACCCAGTGAATGTTCAAATCACATGGTACTTGCCCAAGCTAAATACTGTAGCGTCAATTTGTATTCTTCTTTCTTTCTTACCTCACATCAATAATTCCCCGTAGTCTGTCATGCTCCTAAATTTCCCTCATCCCTGTTTCCTGCATCTCACCCTTTAGCCAATGTCTTTATCCATCTCTGGGTCTTCTTCTCTTATCCCTTCCATAGAATCATAATCAGTTTCCCTGACAGCTCTGCCCCACCAGCCATAGCACGCCAGAATTCATCTTATCAAAAGCCAATCTAAGAATGGTTTCTTGTTACTTATGGGAAAAATTTCAAACTCCTTGGGATGCACTCGAAGCACATGGCACCCAACTTGCAGAACTCTTTCCTGCTGCCTCCACTCCCAGCACCTCCATAAACACAGAATTAGTTCAGTGCCCTCTAGCATACTATGGTCTTTTTTGCCTCCATGTCATGCTGTTCTCTCTTTCTGGAATACCCTTTTCTACCGACTCTACCTGGTGAATTATCACAAACACCTTTTTGGTGTTCAGTTCCACTGGCACCTTGCCTGCAGAGGCTTCCCTTCCTCATCTGCTGCCCTGGCTCTGACCTCTCAGTCCTCACACTAAAGTGATTTGAACGGACCTTGACTCTGTGGTTGCCATCCTATATTCATTTATTTGTGTCTCTCTCCTATTTGATCCCTTATGCCTGAAAGTCAGAGATCCTTCTTTATGAAGCCACAGAAGCTAGCATTGGAAATGAAAGGGTGTGTAACAGTGCCCAGCTCTCCTGGAAGTTCAGCTAGTGATTCCCTCACTAGCTCATAGTTCTCTAGGGAGGAAATCATCATTAAACTAGGTTTAGTTAGCAGCATGGACACTTTGGCAGAGAAAAGAGAAAGAGAGATCCTTTATGCTCAGGGTATACAGAGAAAAGAGAAAGAGAGATCCTTTATGCTCAGGGTATAAGAGACAATATGAAGAGGACCATCAGATGCCCTATAAAATTATGGTACTTTCTTTAGGTCACCAGACAAATCAGACTTACATTTGGGACTTGTTTGAATTCACCCCCAAAGTTCATCTGTTGGAAACTTAATCCTCAATGCCACAGGGTTGAGAGGTGGCCCTTTAAAAGATAATTAGGTCATGAAGGCTTTACCAGCATTATTGTGGGAGTGGGTTTGTTAGAAAAAGGAGTTCAGCCTCCCTCTCATACTATTTCTTCATCCTCCCCACCCTCCTGTGTGCACAGTCTCTCCCCCCCTCATATCTCTCTCTCTCTCTCTCTCTCTCTCTCTCTCTCTCTCTCTCTCTCTCTCTCTCTCTCTCTCTCTCTCTCATACACATACACACACACACACACACACACACACACATTCTTATCCATCTGCCTTCCACTGTGGGATGATGTATCAGGAAGGCCCTCATCAGATGTGGACCCCTTGACCTTGAATTTCCCAGCCTCCAGAAAGAAATCTATCCTTTATAAATTATCCAGTCTCAGGGGTTTTTGTTATAGAAGCACAAAACAGAGTGAAACAGAATTTGATCCAAAAAATAAGCATAGATAGTTGGTTCATACTTTCTTCATGGTATTATCTTCCCCTCTATAAGATAAACTCAAAGCTTCATTCAACAAATGATATTTCAAATGCTATATTAGGTACAGAGACATAGCAGTTTATAAAACAAGATAAAAATCCCTGCTGTGACAATGCCTGTTGTGAGATGATAATTTCTCTTTGTGTTTTAGTTTCCAAAATCTAGTAACCCAAAGTACTTTTCAACAGAATAGGTAGTTTAAAAAGCAAATCATGTGTTTTAGAGAAAAGATACCTTTCTCTTTTATATTATAATTCCTCCCATCATAACTGTCACTTTATAATATATGTTTTAATGGCATTGTGAATTATCAATTCATTTTCTCAAAGGTTGGTAACAGTAGGAAGAAAATAATATTAAAATTCCCTACAACTGTACTTGGGGGTATAGAAAGAGCATCAGGTCCTGCATTCTAAATAGAGTGAAGAGTTCTCTTTTAGTATTTCTTATTTTGGGAATCCTTTTTTCTTATTTCTGGAAAACTAAAGTCGCCCACTTCTGGGCTTTGTGGTATTCTCATGGGAGCAGAGCCTTGGCTTCTGCTGTCTTCTAATCTGATTCCAGCCTTCCTGAGATCAACATTCTGCTTTCCTGTGAGCTTACTGCTCTGCATAACCTAACCAGTGTATTTCACGGCCCTGCTTATAAAAACTCTTCATACATTTCCACTCAGCATGGGAAGCATCTGGCATGAGAATGGTCCCCCTTCTTCCTGTGCAGGACATTTTAAAACAGCAAACTGTACTCCTAATATTAATTCCAGCTCAGAAATAAAGTGTGACTTAGAGTTGCAAGTATCCACTATCTAATAGCCAACATTCTTTCTTTCCTATAGATATTTTTATTCTAATATTCATTATTCATACCTACATATAAAGCTACCATTTAGGTCTCATAAGGAAAAACATGAAACTGTGGATTTAGAAAAACAAATTCTAGATCACCAAAATTGGTTGGTGTTTATGAGTAAAAATTGAGGCAAAATAGAGCAGTGATTAAAAATGCAGCTTTAGACCATAATGAATTAGAGTTGCCTGTGCATTCTTACTAGGCCTCACTACAGTGATTATATTCCTTTTATATTTACCATAGTTTTGGGAAATTGAGGTAAAAAAGCCAGAGATGCTGGGTGAGGGTTGGGGTCAGGTCCTTATTTTGACAGTCCCCAAAGCTCAGCTTAGCCACCCTTTCCATGGGTGATCTGCTTGTTTGGAAAGATTCATCTTAAATGCTTTTCCAGGAGCCAGAATGTCAATTTCTTAGTTTTTTTCATGAGAAAAGTATCCAAAACTTATCCAGCGTAAGATAGTGCCCTGTTCAGAAAATCCTATCCCTATGACACAGTGTCACAGAGGCCAGAGCATGCACAGGTAGTGTCTGGGGGATGAATTCAGTTCGGGGTCAGTAGATGTTTTGCAGAGATTGGATAAGCTGTTGAGTCTAGAACCATCCCAAAATCCAATAGTCAAACCCTCCCATGGAAGCTCTCAATGGTCTTAGCATCCTCTTCCTGCATATTGCTGAGATACCCCCTCCCCCAAGTCTTCCTTCTCAAGGTCACCTTGTCTATACTCCACTCAGCTCTTCCTCTCTGTGATCACAGTCTATTCCTAGACAAGGTCACATGATAACTTACAAGGTTTTCCTTTACCAAGCTGTGACTGCAATTGAGCTCGCCCTCCAAGATCACCTTTTAATTGCATTTTCAATACTTCTAAAATTCTTTAATTATGATTGATTGATTTCTTAGTCCTGCTCTATTATTTTGTTAGCTGATTTCTCAGAGGTCAGTTTTATTTTTTCTTCTCTTCAAATTAGGACTTGTGCCCAGTGACTACAACACCCAACAAGAGAATAAAGAATACAAAACAGGGCCTTGTGATCACCAGCCCAGGAGTCTTGAATAGTCTATTTTTGTGCCAAATTTTTGCCTGGGTATTTGCTTTGTAAGTTTGAAGTTTAAATACCAACCTGTTTTTCTGTGAGCTGTCTGAATTGGTCCTTTGTTTAGCAAGTTCACAAGGTACACATTAGTGTCTGGATGTGATTAGTTTCTAAGTTAACAGTGATTAAGAGGTAGGGAAATGAGTAGGGGCCACCAACACAGAATTTAAAAGTGAAATAATAACAATAATAGAGTAAGGTGGCGAAATTTAACGCTTGTATGGGACACCAAGTTCTCAAACTGAAAGAACCCAAACAAAATGTTACACTGTTACACAGGCTTCTCTCATGACTAGTCAGAAATAAACAGACATTGTACACATAACATAAATTAGGATTCACAAGTGACTAATTCCAAATTAGAGAGATTTATTCAGCCTCACATGGTGAGAATGTATCACACAGCTTTTCTGGTTCCCAGAGGACAATAAAATAACAGGAAGTCATTATAAAGGTCACTTATGAGAAAATCCCAAACCTCCATTTTACACCTTTGTAAGAAACAACAAAATATATTCCATATAAACTCGGGTAGAAAATAATTCATTCTCTGGTTTAAATAAACATTTTTTCAAACCACAAAGAATCCTATTTTAAGTTTTTCTTCAGTACTGAGAAAACTTGATTTTCTCTTAATGTGAGAAGATAAAAGATGTACCAGGAAACCCATGGCTGAACACTTAACCATTATTCTGAGGACAGAGGACAATAGCCTGGTTTACCTTCACTTCCTCTAAATACACTACCCCAATTTCAGTCATATCAAGTCAAAGTTCATGTCTTTAAGAACACAATCTCCAAATAACAGTTTTTTTAGAAATCAGTAGTAGAAAGACTGTTTCTCCCAGAACTCTCTCTTAGCTTCTTTCTCCATTTATGGTTAGACATTTAATGCTTACTTCTCTGACCTTCTCAGTAATTCTCTTACTTATTAACACTCTACTTGATTCAGAAAGTGCCTCTCCAGAAGTCAACCATGTGAGGAAGTCAGAATTTTTTTGTTTTTAAATAGCTACTCTTGGGAGTCTTTTGAATGCCCAGGGGTAGAACCAATCCCAGAGATTGTTTTGCTGTACAGAATCACATTGATCTCTAATTTGTTTGGCCTACGTAAATCATTAAACCTTCAGAAAATATTCCAAAGGAGTCCCCTTCCTTATTTTGTTGTGTTTTGTTTTTACACATTGTAGAAAGGACCCAAACTCTTTCTGAATACCAATTTATCATGCCATGTTCTTACTTGAAGCTTCAGAGAGCCAGGAAATTCCTGTGAGTACTGTGCTCTTTTTTTTTTTTTTTTTCTCTTTGTTCATGAGTGCAGAAAGGTATTAAGCCAGATGGACTGGCCTGGCCAAGACCCTCCAAATGGAATGTGCAAATATGGGAACATATTCCAGGATTTCTGTGCTGGTAGCATAGGACCTGATGCATAAGTATTATCAGCCAGAAATGTCAAGTTTCTCGAGAATCACTGTATTTTCAGCCAATACCCTGGGAGCTTTCTGAGAAGAAAAGAGTTCATAAAGCAATTCTCTGTGCAGCAAAAGATTATGTCACTCCCCAGCTTTGAACTCTCTAATGGATTCCCATCACTGTTAGAATAAAATCCAAAACCACTTAAAATGGGCCCTTGGCTGCCTTTCCCACTGTGCTCACTCCCAATTTCTTCCCTCTCATGCTGCTGCTGCCCCAGTGGACTCCTTGACATTCTAAATGTATTCCTCTCTCAGGGCTCTCCCATTTCTTCTTTTCCCTCTTCTGCAGTGACAGATGTTTTATCCTTGTTAGATTACATGTTGGTTTACCTATTATTTTCCTTTGGATTTCATTTCTGGAATTCAAACATTAGGTCCAGGGTATTTTCTCTGTTGTTCACTGCCATGTCTTGAGAGCCTGGAATATAGTCAACACTTAAATATTTCTTCAATGAACAGATAAATACCAAAATTATCTAAATACATGAATTGATTTTGAATAATAATAATAATAAGCATCTATTTGTATGCACCACTGTATTCCTACTTCTAACATAGTGACTGGCAGATTATAATCACCACTATGTGCTTCTGCATTGCAAGAGAAAAATAAAACCGACACCACACTAACAGACCATATATTCTATCGACTTGAGACAGCAAACAAACAATACACAAATAATTATACAAGGAATCACCTTGTAATAGCAGGATCCTGTGTTACTAGGTAACTGCAGGAACTCCTTCCCATCAGGCGGAACCTCTCAGAGGTGACATTTAAACTGAAGCTGCCTGATAAAAAAAGTCACAAGACATGCTCAGACCTAGGGCAGCATCATAGACAGACACAGGTGACAGCACAAAGGCTCTAAGGTGAGCACAAATGTGTCAGGCTAGAGAAAGATGGTCAATGTTGGTGTAGAGTAGGAAATTGGTATGAGTTCAGAGAGGAAGGCCTTCAGTCCAGATCCTGCAGAGTTGTAAGCCAGAGAAAAAAGAATGAAGTTTATAGAAGAATTATTAGATATGAATGCAGATCTAGAGCAATAAAGTGATACGTTGCAGTGATTCAGGAAGGAGATGACAATGGCTGGTTGGGATGAGAATAGCGAAGAGGAAGAAATGGATTTAGGATAAGCTTTAGAGATGAAATCAGCATTGATAGTGATGGAAAGTGGGGAACACAGATGCCACCCAGATTTTAACTTGAACCACTTGGTTGACATGGATGCCACCAAAATAGAAAACTAGGGAAGGAGCAGAGGTTCTGTTTTGAACATCATAGATTTGAGAAGCCCATCGGATGTCCAAGTGCAGATGTCAAGTGGCCTGCTCAATATATGAATGCAAAACTTAGGAAAAATTTCAGGATTAGAGATGTAGATTTGGGCAACCATGGGCAACCAAGCCATATGGTTGATATTCAGAAGCAAAGTATTGGATTAAAATTACCTAAGGAGAAGTCCTGGATAGATGACGTCAGAACTCTGACTTTTCCCCTACAGCATACCAATATCTAAAGTTGTCCAAAAGAGGAAGATTAAATGCATAAGATTGAAAAGCAGTTAACAATGAATTAAGAGGAAAAACAGCAAAATGGTAACCCAAAAGCAAGAAATAGAAAGTGTCTTAAAGAAAAATGGGCAGTTGCCACGTCTTAAGGAAAGTATCTTAAGGAAAGTATCTTAAGGAAATATGGGCAGCTGCTGAGCTAAAGAGAAAGAAGTCTGGTAAGATGAGACTTGTTGGGGCTGCATGGGAATTACTGCTGTGTTTGAGAGTAGACCAGTTTTAGCCACATAGTGGGGACCAAGCCTAAAGGAAAGGATTGAAGAAGGAATGAGAAGTATGAAAGTGAAATTATTTACTTGAAACAATCATTGCTGTAAAGGGAAGTGCCAAATAAACGAAATCTGGGATAATATTGGTTTATAGATTCCACTGTCCACTGGGAATTTCAAAAAGAAGTGAACACTTTTCCCATATAAAAGGAAGGGAAGAATTTCTTACCCTATGTACAATTAATATTATAATGTTGTATCATAAATTTAAACTTTTCATTGAGAAAAGAAAGCCTATAAGAAATCATAAATGCAGTTACCAGCTTAGATTTTAGTGCAATGTAGAAAAATATAAATACGGAGTTACTTGGATAATAACCTCCTGTATTGACACTTATATAAGTCTCTCAAATGCCATAGTAACTAGGAATTTTGTATGTTCTGAAACAACCAGGTGCCAGGTTGTTCTAAGACTCAAGAAAACAGATCCAGGATCACATAGAGTGCAATTTATTGAGGGACTTACTGATAGAAATAGTTACTGATAGCAGCAACACCAAGCGGATCCCCACAATTTGGGTCAGGAGGAGGAGCCTATAGATGGGTCAGGACAAAAGTGACTTCATCCTAGATGGAATGTAACCTAAGTTACAACAGAGAGTCAGACACATTTCTGGCACCAGGATCCCATTTGAATATTCTACGTACCACTTTAATGATTTTATTTCTGGTTTGCTGGGAAACTATGCAAGAAAAACCAGCTAGTGTCACTCTGGAGCAATCATAATAATTATGATTCAAGATGGCTGTACTCATGTCAACTTGAATCCATATCTTACATAATAGTTATGTAAGTTATCAGTAAGAAATGGCATGTATCAACTGAATTCATAAATCCAATCAAAATTTAAAAGTATGGAGTGATAAATCAAGGGGAAACTATGATGAGGATTTTAACAGTTATGCTGTATTCCAGAAAGAGTGTGGGAGAAGGAGAAGGCTTAGATAGATGGCATCAACAGCTTAAGCAGCTTAAAAGAGTGGAAGCATATATATATATATATATATATATATATATATATATATATATATATATATATATATATTGGGATCCTGGTCACTGATTTTATAAATATATATATATATATATATATATATATATATATATATATATATGAAATATGGGCAGCTTCTGAGCTATAGAGAAAGAAGTCTGGTAAGATGAGATTTTATATATATATATATATAAAAATTTTATATATCAAAATATATATATAATTTATATATATATAATTTATATATATAAATTTATATATATAATTTATATATAAATTTATATATATATAAAATCAGTGACCAACCAGGATCCCAATCAAACATTTAGGAGAATTTTCAGATTAGGGGAATTGACCACGATTTTTATGGATGTAATACCAGGTAGATAAATATGAGAACAATGTTCTGTGAGCATCCTTTCTAGGATGAGTTTCTTTGCTGTGTTTTCATTTTACAATTCCTTCATTTTACAATTGGTAAAAAGACCAAATTGGAACATGTTAGACTATTCTTCAGAAGGAAAAAAACAAAGACATGGATTCTGCTAAAGCTAAGAAGTTAATGATAAGAGCCAAGGAAGAGGGATGGTTACTCACAGGGATCCCCAGGGTCAAAGCCTCAGCTCTATTGTGTTTTTCCCAAGGTATATCCACCAGATAGAAGTGATACTTCAAATGTGAACAGCCCTGAGAATCCCACCAGATTTGAATACTGCTTTCTATTTTGATGCTGATGTGTCCAATTATTTTTCACTGGGGGTCACAGGGAAGCCTTCCTAGTGGGTCCTTTTTTTCCCCAAACAGTAAACCTATTTATATGCCATATATGTATCTTTACATTTCTCAAGACTTACAACTCAAGATTTTATCAAAGTAAACTAATTTGGTCCTCCAAACAACAAACAATCATTTTTTGTCTTCTTTTCTTAATTAATAGACTCAATTTTTTTTTTAGAATAGTGGTAGATTTACCAAAAAAAAAAAAAAGTTGAATGGAAAGTAGAAAATTCTCGAAAGCTCTCTACTCCAACCCCCACCACATTTTCTCCCATCTCGCATTGATGTGGTACATTTGTTACAGTTGATGAGAGTATTGGCACATTACTATCAAAGTCCATAGTTTACCTGAGAGTTCAGTCTTTGTATGGATACTTAAAAATGTACAATAACATGCATTCACCAATTCAATATCATTCAGAGTAGTTGCACTACCCTAAAATTCCCCAGTGGTCTACTAAATAAGCTTTGTCCTCCCACCCTAGCAACCACTGATCTTTTATTCTTCCATAGTTTCACCCTTTCCAGAACCCATACCGTTGGAATTACAGAGCTTTTACCTTTTCAGATTGGCTTCTTTCACTTAGAAATATGCATTTAAATTCATGCCTGCCATGGTGTGCAAGACCACGCCTGAGGTCAGTGCAGGCCTGGAACTTGAGACTCTGATCACTACATTAAGAATGGCTTTGTAGATCACTTTTTTAAATGCTGAATAATATTTCTTTCTTTTTCTTTTTTTTTTTTTGTTTGTTTTGGGGGGTTTTTTGTTTGTTTGTTGGAACTGGGGATTGAACTCAGGGGTACTTGACCACTGAACCACATCCCCAGCCGTATTTTGTACGTCTTACTGAGTTGCTTAGCACCTCGCCATTGCTGAGGCTGGCTTTGAACTTGCGTGATTCTCCTATGTCAGCCTCGCAAATCACTGGGGTTATAGGTGTGCGCCACTGCACCCAGCTTGAATAATATTCCATTGTAGAGATACACCAGAGTTTCTTTCTTCACCTTTTTCTAGACAGATTGGTTGCTTCCATGTGTTATCAAATATGAATAAAGCTGCTGTAAACATTCATGTTAAAGTTTTTATATGGAGAGTTTTTTTTTTAACTCACTTAGGTAAATACCAAAGAATAAAAAGTACCAGTATTGTACATAGTGCCCCAGGCTGGGGACCAAGCCTTCAACACATCTTCTTTAGGGAATGTTTATGATCCAAACAATAACATCCTCATAGTTCAATTTAAGCACTCTCTATTACATTTGGTGCCTATTTATATTTTCTCTTCTAGCATGAAGTCAACAAGGGACTACATTTCTTCAATGTTGTGTCTCTATATGCAGACACTGAATGAATAAAAGAAAAAAATTAAATGTGATTTTTTTTATTTTCCTAAGGAATTTCTAAAGAGACAAAAGAAAATAATTTTGAAAAACAATCATCCTTTAACAAAACCTGTTCCCCAACTCACCAACTTTTTTGTATCATTACCATATTTTTTTAGACTTTCTAGGCATTTTGGCACAAAAGCCAGTGCTTCCTTTTATTAAACCTGCTGTAGTATTGTAACCTAACATGAAAGTAGCAAAGCAAAACCAAAGACTGCATTCTAACTTGTCAGCATCCCTCTTTCTTATCCCTTTTATCTCCACTAAAATCTTTCTCCAGCTTTCCTATCCATTTGACATCCTTTGAATGCTTTAATGTTAGCATTGTTCATTATGAAGTCACCTTGCACAAGGCAGCCCTCCCAAGAGGAGGGCAGGTTCTAATTAAGCTAACAGACAGCAGGGTGAAAACATTG